TATTATTTAACATAGAAAATACTCCCACTATTTAAAAAAATAAACAATTTAATGATTAAAATAACAAATACTTATTTAATAAAAATGCAATATTGATTTTTTTCATATCTTAAGTTTTTAATTCTGGTAAAATATAATACACACTAGTAGCACTGTAAATACAGCGTGGTCACTGAAAGACTGAATGATATAAAATTAAAATAACTTTTACCAAAATATGAACATCTTTAGTATCATTTGAAACTCATATGTTAATATTGAATCTAGTTTCAAAATCTTCTGATGTTGTGGCCTGGCGATTCCTAGTTAAACAGAGTGACGACGGTGTAGATGCTGATGGATTGTCAAGTGCACACAATGCACTCTTCCCAGAATATCGCCAATTGGTCCTTTCAAACCGGGCGATTAGGTTCCTAATTATGTCATTGCTAGGAGATACTCTGACATTAAAATGTTGCTGGTATTTTCCCCGAGTTTGAATAATTGATCTTTCATTGGAATAGAAAAACTGAATGAATTTTACTCATTGCTGGAACTGCATACGTCGCTAGTTTAATCTCCAAGGGATGCTTTATAATCCGTAGCCATTTTAATCTCCAAGGGATGCTTTATAACATGCAAAAAAAAAAAAAAATATTACTGAACACGAACAAGTTAAGATTTTTCAAACCCTTCAGTTTTTCAGTGCCCACCCTATAAAAAAAAACACATAGTAGGGAGAGATTCAAACGATAACTTGAACTATACTAAACAGTGATGATTTCAACACGCGTCAATGTGTTGAAAAAATTCTAGTAAATAGTTGTATTTCTTAAAGAATATTGTTATTGATAAACAAAAGATAGCTATTCTAGTTTATTTAAAGAATATGCAATAAATTTACTTAAGCTATGTAAATATCAGTAAAATATATCATGAGTATAAAACTATTCAAGATGGGTGCGAGCGAGTTGTTGGATGCCTCCATTTGATGGGGGGGTATAAATTCATTAGCCTATGATCGTAATGTCACTAGACTACACAAGGTCATAATCTAATCCTGATTGGAACCTTTTATTTGACTAAGGGTGGATATACTATTTTTAACTGTGCCTGCCAGACCAGAATTTCTTCCTAGCGAATGTCGAACGAAACTCTTTATTTGATTATTTATGCAAAAGCGTTTGGTAAAATACGCCGCAAAGAACTGTTGGAAATGCAAGGTAACCTTGACATATTTGGGGATAATCCAGAACATATGCTGCAAAGCGCTTAAATAGAGACAGAAAATGTACTCAGTAAATATCGAAAGAGGCATAGTGATTTTCCAAGCGTAGCTTAGATGTGGCACAAGGCCGAAAGTATGGGGCACCCTGTGAGGATCGAACTCACGACTCAGTTGTAATTGTTCTAGCGAGACAAGCTTGCTAACCATTACACCGCCTCGAGGTGCCCGGTCGAAAGAGGGGAATGACAGGATGTGTCGTCTCACCGAACTTATTCGGCCTATACAGGGAGACTATTCTTAGAGATTTAGAAAACCTGACAGGTTTCATTATTGGCTGCCACAATGTTAACAGTATAAGAGATGAAGATGACGCAGTGCTGATAGCAGACACGGAAAGCGAGAAAAAAATAACTGATCAATTACAAGAAGGAGGAGTGCATGGTTGTTAGGAAAAAGAATACACATGCAAAATGCAGGTAACAAAATAAAACAAGGACAACGGAGTAATGGATAGCGGATCGTATTGAGGAATCGGAGAGCCGAGTTCGAATTCCTGTCGAACCCATTACATTCACTTATGTGCTAATACCCTTGGAGAAGGTATGAATCCTCCTCTTCTTCTCTCCCAGCTATGGGTAAATAGCAGGACAGACCTGGTTCTATAGCTTTGGATGGCAAATGGTCTACCGCAGAAAGAAATGACAACCTACTGCGGGGGGAAAAATCTGCTTCATCAGTCATGCATCGAAGGATACATGATCGCCTAAGTGTGTATATGCATAACTGATAACAATTTACATATTTGAGAAGTGTTTTAACAGAGGAGAGAAAGTGTGATACCTTGATTAAAATTGGAGAGTTGTCATTTTTAGGATTGACAGCTTTTATTACGAACATCCTCACCTATACCTAGGAAGCTAAATAAATCCCACTGAAAAGGATGTGTAAATTCGCATAGCTAAAGCCCAGGACGCCTTGAATAAAATGTATGCAATATGCAAATCTGATCTGCCAGACAACCTTAAGTGGAACTTCTTTCGTGCCACTCGAAAGCCGGTTTTCATGCATGGTGTAACTGCTTGGTGGTCCGAAAGTCTTGTCACCCATATATATATATTTATTAAAGACATATTTTTATGTTTAACGTTGTTATTTTATAGATACAAGTATTTAAGCAAATGCTCTGTTTATGATAAACAGTATTAAATAACATTTACCGGCCTGAATGTCGAGAAATTTTCATAGAAAATTTTCGTTCTTTAACAATTCGAACCTGTATCCTATACGGAACCGTCATATACGCTGACGTGCCTTTACCGTTTGAGCTACAAAAAGAACCAATCGGTAACAAGGTCAATTTACTGCTTATAAACTCCAACTTTCCATGAATCTCGTACATTCATAACTGGCGTATCGAATGTAAACAAATGACGTCATATATTAAGAAATGGACAAGGTACATATCTATAAAATAACAACGTTAAACATAAAAATATGTCTTTAATAAATAAATTGTCGGACCTTGTCCATTTCTTAATATATGACGTCATTTGTTTACATTCGATACGCCAGAGCCGTTATGAATGTACGAGATTCATGGAAAGTTGGAGTTTATAAGCAGTAAATTCGACCTTGTCTACCGATTGGTTCTTTGTAGCTCAAACGGTAAAGGCACGTCAGCGTATATGACGGTTCCGTATAGGATACAGGTTCGAATCCTGTCAAAGAACGAAAATTTTCTATTCAGGCCGGTAAATGTTATTTAATACTGTTTATCATAAACAGAGCATTTGCTTAAATACTTGTATCTATAAAATAACAACGTTAAACATAAAAATATGTCTTTAATAAATAAATTGTCGGACCTTGTCCATTTCTTAATATATATATATATATATATATATATATAGTATAATTTTCTATTTCAGATGTCTGACACGAGCTCCTGCAGTTTGGAAGAGAGACTTCACGATGTATGACAGCGTTAATAAAAGTAAATAAACTGAATCCAGTACATGTGCTTTGTATTACTGTATTACTTGTTCTTCTATTGTTCTCATTACTTTTTGTTACCCAGTGACAAGACTTTCGGACCACCCTTTATATTAACTAAAACCCTATACTTAGCATCTCTTGGAGACAACATCCAAGTAAATCACAGCTCTGTGAAGCCATCCATGATATTTCTACAATCTTACGAATGCGCTTTGCAGGCTACTGCTGGCATGCAAAACAAGAACATGCGAGTGATCTACGGCTCTGGATACTTAGCCATGGCGCAAGACGGTTTGGTTGCCCAGTAACCACCTACATTGACCAACTATGTAACGATACAGAATGCCACTCTAATGACCCTCCGACCTTGCCGCTCTAATGACCCTCCGACCTTGCCACCCTAATGACCCTCCGACCTTGCCACTCTAATGATCCTCCGACCTTGCCACCCTAATGACCCTCCGACCTTGCCACTCTAATGACCCTCCGACCTTGCCACCCTAATGACCCTCCGACCTTGCCACTCTAATGACCCTCCGACCCTGTCACCCTAATGACCCTCCGACCCTGTCACCCTAATGACCCTCCGACCTTGCCACCCTAATGACCCTCCGACCTTGCCACTCTAATGACCCTCCGACCCTGCCACCCTAATGACCCTCCGACCTTGCCACCCTAATGACCCTCCGACCTTGCCACTCTATTGACTCTCCGACCTTGCCACCCTAATGACCCTCCGATGCCGGACTGTGATGGTTGGTGTGATAAACTCATGAAAGTCCGAGGCAGATCGAACGAATAATAAATAATTATGAACAGGTTTGTATACTCCCTAGCACTCTGTTTACTTTAACTCCCCTTTTAAGAGACATGGATATTTCATCACTGTTGAATGAGTTCATTAGAGTCATTATTATCAGTTTGTAGACTTCAGCCATCACTTAACATTCTAGTTAAGAAAACCGCTTGTGGTATAAACTGACATTGGGAATATACAGGGTGATTGAAACGTAACTCCCTATTTTATGCATGATGGACTCTCTCGTCTAACTTGTATTAATACAAGACGGAAGAGTCCATCATACATAAAATAGGGAGTTACTTTTCAATTACCCTGTAGTTAAGACTAGGCTATTTTAGGCCCCGCGGTATGAAGTAAGTTAGCCTCATTCATACACCAGATGTTATTCTGGACTAGGCTAAATTACATCCGGGTATATTCTCGGAGGAGTGTTAATGTCGGCTACTACACCAAGTTATAAATAGTTGATGCGTATGAGTTTTTAATTTCTTTACAAAGAATTGATTGATTGATCGTCTTTTACGACTTATCACCCCTTTGTAGGTTATTTAAAGCCAAAACATTTTGGATTGTAAGAATAATTGAGTAAATATTGCATTAACAATATCTTTGCGAGTAACAATATTTTTTTCAGATACACGTTCTACTATTTAACCCATGGATGGGAGGAGAAGACGGATTCATATATTTCCCAGGGGTATCTGCGCATAGTGAATGCAAAGATCACCATAGGATATCGGCTTATTGATTTTTTGATTTTTTAAAGCTTATCAACCTTTTGGAATTTATTTGAAGCCAGAAAATATTTTTAGATTATAAGAATTTTTCAGGGAGGGTTGGGAGATAATGATTCGTTGATACACGTCTTACTGTTTAATCCATAGCTGGGACAAAAGAGTTGGATTCATATCTTTCCCAATGGTATTTGCGCGTATAAGCTCTCCGATTAACAATTCCGAGCCATTATCTGTTATACCACCTGCACATCCAAGCTTTAGCACCTGGTATTCCCAAAGGGTCAACCATCTAGGTACTGACCAGGTTCGATGTTGCTTAACTTCGGTGATCGCATGGGAACGGAATGTTCAGGAAGAAACTCGGACGGAGCAAGTATAGATAATCTGTTAGATCAAATAAAGGATTCTTTGAGAGGTTTTCTACCAGTTACCAAAATATTATTAGTAGTAGTTGTAGTTCTACTACTTTTGTCAAGCTACCTCATGTTCCACCTTCCATTATCACAAGCTCCATAGGTATGTGGCTCGCTACCTTTGCCTATCACTCTTACCCTCAATATGCCCTGTGAGTGTTAAGTTTTCCATTCCGTCCTTCCACATTAAGTGTTCAAAGAACTTCAGTTGTTTCTCTGTAAAATTGGAGTAAGCTGGATCGAATGGGTGCGTGTTTTGATACATTTAAAAAAGCTTATCTTCTCGTGAGACCTCGACGACATACGAGACTTGTTTGATAGTCATCATCCAGACATTCCTGTTAAATAGTGTCGCCGATCAGAGTTCTTGCCATTTTATTACCACTAAATATAAATGATTTCAAGTCTAACCCTATTCTTTTGCCACACGGCACCCCACCATTCCCAAAGTCTCTAGATTTTATCACTTGACCGTGATACAATTAAATCAAGAGAGGCGTTCTTCTAGAACCGACAATTTTGACCTAAATAATTTCAGTCAGCTGCTTCATAGACTGTCTGTGAATAGGATCGATAACCAATAAACAATCAAGACCCGATGCCAGCTTATGTTATATGAATGCATCAAATATAATCCTAGTAGACACGACGGTATCTTATTTCAATATGACAGGTATGAACGACTTATAAATTTCTCATGTCGTTTTAATATTTAACAATACGGGCGTCACAGTCAAAAACCATATTCAATATAACCCCGACCAATTTTTTCGAGTCATCATTTGATTTATTTTTTCCGAATTACCCATAAATTTATTTTGACTCCTTCTGCCACGTTTTATCTTTACAAGAACCAGATTAGACTAAAAACGGCGTACTGTTACCATATATGGGCTTAGAGCTCTCCAATCCTAACTTCCCAAACTTGATAGAGTTTAAAGTCGCTTCGATGCTCTATCGCTATTTCCATGGCAAATGTTGGCACTATCTCCGTTCTTTAGTTCCAATTCCATCAATTCAGACCTATACACAGCTAAGACCCACCGTGCTACCTTCACGCGGTCGAACCACCTTCATTTGTCTTCATATTCGAATTGTAAGTGCGGACCAGGAGGTTTATCCTCAAAAGACACTGCTTTCGAATGGCTCATGCTGTTTCCCAGTTCGTTTGAACCATTGTACTAAGGCCGGGGAGTACATTGTTTTCTTTTGCGGCTCGAAGTAGATTGTGGGCAGTCCCTTTCTCCGAGACGACACGCGAGGACGATTTTTCTTCTAATCTTTGCCTAAAGAGGTACTAAGTGGCTTGAATTCAGATTTCTACTTCTCCGATACTGGTTACTAACGAAGTCCCTAATCTGCCCCGTGAATTACCGACAGCCAGAGTGAAGAGATGTATTCATACATTTTCCTACGGGTATTAGCACGTAAGTGAACGCAATGAATTCGAACTCTATTATCTGATTTCTCAATTCGAACCGCTAACCAACAAAATATTTTTTTTTTAAATTCCATATTGAAAAATATGAATTACTTTTTCAACTGAATATTGATGTTAAAGAATTAATGTTACAGCTTTCATTCAGGTTGTAATCGTTCGAAATGTGTATATTTAGAGATTTTCCAAGCGTAGCTTAGATGTGGCACAAGGCCGAAAGTATGGGGTACCCAGTGAAGATCGAACTCGCTACTTAGTCGTAATTGTTCTAGCGAGACAAGCTTGCTAACCATTACACCGTCTCGAGGTGCCCTCGAAATGTGTATATTTGCTGGATGAAATATCATACAAAAACATTTAATAATTTGTCAAACCTTTTAACTTCAAAAATAAATCCACCTTGCATGTCGTCTCAAGAAAGGGACCGCCCCACCCCTATTGCGAGCCGTGACAGAAAATAATGGACTCCTCGGGCTGAGTACAATTGTTTAAATAAACTTTGACACGGCATTCACCGTAAACTTCTCTGGTTTCGGACTATTGGCCCATGTATCACCCACGGCACTTTAAACGACGATAAAATTTGCACTGATTAATAAAATTTTTATATATATATATATATATATATATATATATATGAAAGTGACATAAAGATATTAAAATGTCACTTTTGTAAATAGCAGACTATGTTACAAGATAATATTTTCCTACAAAATAAGAAATATTTAGTACTAATACAACGTCTTATGTTCATGAATATGTAAATTTTTTAATATGACTGTGGCAATTCAAAAATTCCACTGGATGCCACAGTTCAGTCAGTGCTTTGCTATTTATAATATTTGGTGTTGCGAAATTGAAAACGTATGAATCTTTTGACAAAAAAATTTGATATTAGTTTTTGAAATGCATTATTTCAATACGAAAAGAAAGTATGGGATTATATTTTCAAATATATTTATTTGTCACCAGTGACTTTTAAGAACGATACCACGAAAGCCAATAGTAAGCGTGAGATACGTTGATGACAACTTCATAGTCTGGTTACACTAGGCAGCTGTATAAATACCGCTAGACTATATGAAATCAATAAGACCTCAGATCGAGTTCACAATGAAAGAAGAAAATACTAATCAACTAGCCTTCCTGAATGTACGAATAATTCGCACAGAGAATGGTTTCAAGACACCCGTAAGTCACAAAAATTTACACTATTTACATTGCGATTATTGTCCTTATCTTTATTGTTAGCACAACGTTTCGGCTGTAGTGCTCTCATCGGCAGGTGTATATCGACCCGTGTAATCTACAGGGAACTCCGAAACTGAGCACATTATTTAATATACGTGGGTAGATTGTTCTAGTTCTGCTGCCCGTGTCTAGGGATATCACGATTAATTCTTATTTTTACTTCTGATCAGTTATTGCTCGCCCTGTCTTGTTATATACCTGATGAAGCCCGAGAGTAAAACGGCCGAAACGTTTTGATAACAACAACAAAGTGAAGGGCAATAGTCCGAATATAAATAGTGCAAATACTGATAACTCCTCATCCCAGAAATTCAGACAGAAATAAAAAAAAAAATTGTTTGATTCTCCAAAGGTCATTCAAGAAGCAGCATTAAAAGCTTTGAAATTATCTTAAAATGTGATTTATAAAATGTTTATGCAATTTCTTTTGTATAATTCTCATTAACATTTAATGCTGGACAATCATCTCAAAGTTGAAAGGGGAGCAACAAAAATGTGGTTCTACAGAAAGATGCTGAGGATACCGTGGACCGAACAGCGACAAAGTTTTGCAGAAAATGGAAGCAAAAAGGAAAATTATATTTAACATCAGGAAGGAACAGTTGAAATTTCTAGGGCACATAGGAAGGAGGGTTTGGAAAATCTGATACTCATAGGGCTGAGGGCAAGAGGGACAGAAGAAAGTAACGTAAAACCTTCTTGGTAAACATGAGTAAACGGATGGCGTACCAGAGCTTAGGAGAAATAACAGAAAGACAAAGTTTATTACGAGCAGGAAGTTGTGGAGGGCTACAACCGCCTACGTCTTGAAGTGACATGACACTTAAAGAAGTATGGAAATTAGTATTTTTTTTCATATAGTAAATGAAACTATATTTAAAAAATGACCTTCATTCAGAGAAATGTTTACGGGTGGCTTTTTAATTTGAATTTTACACCTTTTTACATATATTGCAATTTTGGGTATGACGATAAACTACACCCGATAGCAAAATGTTTTTGTTGCTATAGTTACATTAAAATTCAAAATTAAAAAGATAGACGCTTGTGTCTAAGCATTTTTTTCTGGTTAATAATAATAATCCCTTACTATAAAGGTAATTTACATTACCTAACTATAACAACAAAAACATTTCGATTTCATTTTTGCCTTGAAAAAGTCGGAAGATGAAACGCGTCGACAAAATGTAAGATTTTTTTCCAATTGTCATTTGATACCATATATATATATATATATATATATATATATATATATATATATATATATATATAATGTATGTATATATATATTCTATTTCACCGCATGGAAGGCAGAAAAGTCACTAACACAAGGAGTTATTGGGTGAAGAGTAATCTGGAGGACAGTAGACAGCGATTGACATTGCATTTAAATTTTTGAAGATCGAACTTGTCCGGAAAGAATGGAGCCGGAAGGTAGTTCCACAAGCGAGAAGTACAAGAAAAGAAACTGTTAGCATAGAACTTACGGCTAGATCTATCCAGCTCAACTGTAAATTGATGAGATCTTGACGCCAGTCTTGCACTGCGTTTAAATGTTTTTTAAATATCTAGGTACACTAGCGGAGAGCTCACGCGAACAATTACCATGAAAATATTTATAGAAAAGATGCAGAGAGGTAATCTTAAGACGGTGGGAAAGTGACTGAAGCCGAGATGCCAGATCAGGACTGATAATATTGCTGATTCTTCTTTGGATTTAGGACATAAACTTCTGTCATGTGTGAAATGAAAGCCCTGTGATCCAACGCCACCTGTTGATAAACACTACGAAATTTTGTTCCAACCCAACTCAATAGGTTTGAGAATGTTCGGTTGGCTTAATTGTTAATCGACATGTAAGATGGAAACGGCGCACAGAGTTTAAATCTCCAAGTATGCCGTCGTTTTCACTTCTACACAAAGGCCCTTGAGAAAGGCCCGGATCTATATTTTCCCCCTTAACTATGGGTTAAATAACAGGGCAACTCCCTAGTCTTGTTTAAAGGCCCGGATCTATGCGTTTCACCCCAAGCAAGGCGGGAAGCCACTAGGACGCAAGGGGTTACAGAAGATTTGGAGCAAGATCAGATAGGAGTGATAGAGGAAAAGATGAGGAGAAGGATAGTGGATAGATCAAGGCAACTGGAGATATCGATTGACATTACATTTGAATAGTTGGAGATTATAGCTCTCAGGGAAACAGGAATAGGGAAGGGAGTTCCACAGGCGAGAGGTGCGAGA